AAGTTTTTATTAAAAAAATTAAACTTTTTAATAAAAACACAGGCAAATTTGCCTGTGTTACAATTTAAGGGATAAGTGCACCCTCTATATAAATTTTCTTTAAGTACACAGTATAGCCTGGTCCCAGTTTATAATAGAACTATATATTTTACTCTCTATAAATACACTTCCTCTTTAAGTACACATTTTTGCTATTTTTTACTATAGTCCCAAGGGAGTGCATTTAGAGAGGTCTCTCTGTATGCAGTTTTCTAATGTAATTACTTAGAGATTATTAACAATATCAAATTATTATTGGTTTATAATTTTAGTAACTTTTTTATTATTAAAATAAAAGTCTAGCACCTAAAGTTATAAAAATTATAATATATATAAAGATCACTAATTAAGTATATATTATTATAATTATTATAGTATTATAGTATTACAGAATCACATTATTATGCTACAAAGATACTATAGTATTATGACATTATGACATTATAGCATTATATCATTATGGCATATAATATTTACAGTAATTAGGTTCTTTGCTATAATTAATTCTACTATATAGTAGAATGCTATAATACCGTAATTCAGTAATTCTATTGCCAACACTAAACTTAACTACATATTGTGTATAGTGTCACAGATTAATCAATGACTTTCATCAAAGAAAAACCTAACCTAGATAATAGGCACTAATAATTAGGCACTACACGAACAAAACTCAACAAGGCAAATGTTTACTTTATTACTCGAATAAACTTTATTTATTAAGGATTTAATTTATTAATTACAAGAGTAAAACTATCTAAACTAACTAACTTCCTTCCAACTAACTAACTTCCTTCCAACTAACTATTATATTCGCTTTTCTCATATATATATACTTCAGGTCACATTACTTACATCATAATTTACTCATATACGATTATATAATCACTTGACTCTTATATTACTAATAAATTACCTCATCTTTCATACATACTACTTCGATTGCATAATTGATTATTACTTGATTTCATAATCCCTGATCGATCATGTGCATCATGTACACAAGTCATTAATTGATCAATTGCTTATTCCCTTATATTCATACTTGTTTATCGCATACTATATTTCACCATTATATGAGCTAAGTTCCTGGAACTTTGTCCTGAAGTTTCCAACTCCCTTAATATAATTTCTCTAAGAACATTATCAACATTACCAAACCTACTAGTATAGTCACTTTTCACCACTAATCTCTTTCCACGATCGAACATACTTCTCATTATTCAATCACTTCCAATGTCAAGTCATATATTCAAAATGTTATTTGCAGCAGGCTCCTAGCACCATCTAACAATTCTATTATCAAGATTTCTAAAGTTCATATGCCAATGCCATTTGGACAAATCTACACTACAATCAAATTCATCGGATTCTTCATCACTCAACACTTCCAACAAACATTTTACTATCTTATCTCTTTCTAGAACTACAACTGATAGAGCACCTAGCACATTAATTGCTCTATTTCAGCAACAATTTACAACTTTATCTACTCTTTCAATTCCAGCATCGTTTATCCTCCACCATTATCATTCATTACTGACTCCTTTGCAACACACCCAAAGTCAACCAAATCTTCTTCATTACTATTCATCTTATTTTCTTGACAACAGATGAATTTCTTGTGTTTATCCTTTTCATTGTAGAATTTATCACATGTTTCTTCGATATATTCCATTTCACTTCTAACGATTTCAGCTCTACCATTGGGAGCTTTATCCCATTATCATCATTTTTGACTTCAACTTCATCCTGGCCACAATGTTCAATACTAACTACTTTTTCAGCATCATCCACATTACCAATTTGTCAAGACTATCTAAGCATTTTACTATCTAATTCCCAAATTATTTCATCCTTCACTTTAACACACCTAAAGTCAATCAAATTATTTTCAACAAACTTATCCAATATGCTTTCAGAGTTCTTATTATTCATCTGATCTGGCTTATCAAAATCTATTAGATCATTGACTTTTATTCTTTAATGAATTCCATTTCACTACTATTCATCTTATTTTCTTAACAACAGACAAATTTCTTATGTTCATTCTTTTCATCACTAGTTATTTCTTCCTAATTACAATAACCAACATCATATAGAGTGTCTCATATTAAAAGGGCACATTTTGCAATTTTTCAAAAAATGAGTTTTTATTAGATTTATGTAAATTTTGATATGATTAACATTTTTCAATTATAAATGAAGGTCGATTTGCATAATGAAAAATGGAGATAATGTAAAAGAAAAAATTTCACAAGGTTGCTAAAGCTAAGCACATCACAGGACCACCCAATAGTCACCCATTACCTTTAACTAATCAAAATTGTGAAATTTGATTAATACCGGATCAGTCCAAAAATCAAAACAAATGATTAAACTCAATTATCTCAAAATTGTTTATATTGCAAAATGGACCCTTTTAATATGAGGCACCTATATATCCTATTGTCACACCAGATATCTGCAGATTCACCATCACTATTCTTCATATTCGACAATAACCAGTCAACTTCAGCTTCCAAGTTATCCAATCTTCAATCATCCACCTCACCAATCAACTTATTACTTTCGATATCATTTTCTTTTTTCTTCTCTAATCCAACTTGATTAGCATTGCTATTATCTCAAAATATGTCGATTAAACTTATACTACAATTTGGTGCATCAGGCTTCAGATCTTCTTTGAATGCTTTGCTTTCATTGTTATTGATGTTTTTGCTAATCACATCTCCACCTCTTTCTATCTTTTGTTCTATCAACCCATCACTTTCATCCATATCTTTAATACTTATATCTTTCCCTTTCTCTATATTTATGTAAATCAATATTAAGTTCATCTTGTAGACTATCGATACTACTTTGTTGCAAGATGGGCTAGTAATTTGACCAGGTTCTCGTGTTACAAATTAATTAATAACTTTTGTTAAAGAAAAACCTAACTCAGCAGTTAAGCACTATCAACTTTTGCTTAAAGTGATTTGGGATTTCTATCCAAATAGATAAGTATTTACTTTATTTTTATTATTTTTGTTATAAAACAAGAAGAATGTTCTTTATTATTATTTTTGCTACTCTTTAATATGTCTAATTTGACTTACCAATTTTTTTTTTTTTTTAATTCTTTGACAGTCTTGTCATAGCTCAAATACATATTAGACTAAAAACAAAGTTTAAAGCTATTCTAATAATAACTAATTTAAAATTGCAAACCCGACATTGGCTACATATTATGCGCCCAGATGTGACTTGTCGCACTGACCCACATGTGAGTTAGGAGATATTGTTAGCTCTATTAAGAACTAAACCAAAATAGAGTTAACCCACTCTCAATCCATTTTACAACATCTTCCTTAAACAACCACTTTACTTCTACCATTCTTTCACTATTTGCTGCAACATTTTTATTATTCAAACCATTATTGATTTTGCTTCTCCTTACTCTAGACGTAGTGATGCCTTCACCATCAGATATAATATTCTTTATACAACTACTTTGCTTCATCACAGTATTTATACTATTTGCCTTTTTCCAGACAACTACAGATCTATATCTTTTTTGCCAGATCTCATCAAAAAAACTATTTTCAACAATTGTTTTGTACTTCAACAAAGCTTTATTTATAACTATACTCGATAGTTGCTGGTTTAGAAGTTCGTCGACTACTTCATTTGGAATAAGCCCTCGAATGTAATCTTTTCTTTGCTCTATCTTCTTTTCAACTGTACTACCAACTACTATACTTCTAAAAACTTCAATAGGAGCCCTCCTACTATATGTTCTGCCTATTCTGTTTTACACAATCGAGCATGCTACATCTTCAATTATGTCCCAAAAGAAATCGTAACTACTACACTTAACCAAATGATCAGTCGTCTCCATTTTAGCTTTATAATTAATACATGTATCTGCTGAATATAAGTCAGGTCTATGTTTCTTCAAGACTAAAATTATTACTTATACACTTGATTCTAAATGCTATACTTCTACTTGCAATATAGAACTTGCACTTGTTTTCCATTGCTTTTCTATTTTGGTACCATAATGCTTTTCAATCACAACTTGAGTCTTCATTGCTTCATATGTATGTATAGCATATGAGCTCCTCTACTCTACACCAGTTTTAAGGCCAAGTAGTGTTTTAGCTACCTTTCTTATCATTAACTCTACTGGTATATTGTTTAAATATACTGTATATAACTTGCGATAGTTGTTTTCAAATGATAATACTGAGACTTGATCTAATTGTGTTCCTTCTTTAACCAGCTAATCAGCCCTTTCATTCTACCTCACATTACTGTGTGCTTTAACTTTTACTAGGTCAAGTGCAATATTCTTCGACTTACAGATATCAAGAATCTTGATTACCAGGTCAATATTTGGCCTCTTGCTCCACAATCTCATATCAGTTAACAATGCTGCATTAGACAAACTTGCTATTGCTGCTACACTATTGAGCTTAATCACCACTTCGCTATTGCATTTAACTGTTAACAATGATATCCAAACTGCCACTAACTCAGCTTTCGTTGACGATAGCTATTTACTAACCCAAATCTTTCCTTCTAATATCATCTCTCTTTCACTACTATTCACCAATACCCAACCTGCTCCTATCCTGCAACCTAAACTATTCTTCACTAAAGAACTATCTGTATAAAAAATATAACTACTACTCTTCTTGCTACAATTAATTTCTACTTGCTGTACTAACAAGAACTCAAGTATAGCATCAAAACCCTGCTCAATAACCAAACTCTTTTTATGTACATACACAACTATAGTGTTGATTAGTGATTTCTTACTACTCTTTTCTAAAACTATATTGCTTTTCAACTTAAACCCTTTGACTTCGTTAATTACTACTGGTATTTTCTTACTTCTATTTATACCTGAATTAGAAATTGCCCCTAATACTTCTCTCTTACTAACTCTCTGCTAGCATATATCACCTTCAGCTCTTTGATCAAGACTGCATTTGTTACATTCAGACAATATGATACTACCATTACTTGTTGGTATGTGCTTCTAGTGATCAACCAACAATTGAGTTTTTATCATTTTCCTAACTCTACCCAAAATTGACTCATTATTTTCTTTATTTACTATCACCTATTCATGATGCCTCTTGTTATTTGATACCCTTTCTGCTGTGATCTGTATATATACTACACTTCTTGTTAACAACTTGTATGCACCTACTACTTTCCTGCTTGTCTCAATACTAATAATCTTATTTTCAATAGCTCCAAACCACTTTGCTTTTCATCCTTTAAGTGAATCTGTTTACAAGGCCCGAAATTTGTTCCATGTTAACATCTCAGTACTAGCTTTGTTAATTAACTGATTGATATAGAACAAATTATATCTTCTTATAATATTATAGTACTTGTTGAAATCTTCCTCTCCTAAGACTTCTGCAATCATCAGACCTGTTCCAAACACTTGCCACTTTTCTGTGTTTGCACTAATTGAGATTCCCAACTCACATGCTTTAATAGAACTAGGCTTGCTAGGTTATTTTTCTATACCTTTCTCAACATCAAATTTTGTAAAATATGCCAACTCTCTTTAACAAGGCTTGCTAATGCAAACCTCTCATTCAACCTTATTCGTGTTAACTTGCCTACTTGATCATGACTATTCAACCTATTCTGTAAACTAACTAATTGTATGCTAAAAATTTCTTGACTAAAGTTTTGCATCTAACAAGCCCTTGATGCGCTACTATGTAGTTACTTGCTATAGCTGGGAGTCCAATCTTGTTCTTAATAATTCGTGTTATAGGTTGATAGATTCTATCGAAACTTGCTTTTGAGATTTTGGTTGACTGTAATATATATGCTAGTTTTGGCACAATACACATGTTGTTTACATAAATTAGCTGACTAATTAATAAGCTTTTAAACTGCAATGTTTTTACAAACTGCTCAACAATACTCTTTGCTTTCTTAATCACTAGGCTCTCATTTGATTCTATACCTATTCAGACCCCAAACAGACGTGTTAATGTTCTTTTTTCTTTGGCCTGCACTCTATAACTATCTACTTTAATCCATCTTTCACTTTTGTCTAAGATGATATTATAAACTAATAGCTTTGATTTTGCTCTATTTATTTGTATATCATTGAACTTGAAAAAACATTGAGCCGTCTGAACTATCTGTTCCACTTGACTTTTGCTTTCTGCCACCCATGTGGTATCATTAGCAAAAGCCACCGCTGTCTGCCTTACTGATTCTTTTCTTGTTATGTTTAACTGTAGATCAACTATTTTGCATGTGTTTACTATATAACTGAACTTTTCATTGTCCTAGATTTTCTTTAACAAGAGATTATAGAAAATCTGCCACACTAGTGGAGATATTGTTTTTCCTTGCTCAATTCCATCACCTGCTTCAAAATTGTCAGTTAGCCCAAAATCAGTAATTATTTTAACTCTTCTCTTGTTAAATAGTTCAATGATGAAGTCGATTATTTTGAATAGAAGCTTTATTCTATTGAGTATAGCATGAAGTGTTTTTATTGATACTAAGCCATATGCCTTCTTCATATTAATCACAATTCCTTTTTGCTTTTATGCGTATCCTCCACTAACATTTCAACGAGGTTAATTGCACTTTCTGTTGAACAACCCAGCAAACCTGCATAATTTGAACCACATAGAACTTTGTATTTTACTATTACTTTTGAGATTCTTCTTGTTAATAGCCAAATAATACATTTTCTAAATGTTTACAACAATGCTATTGGCCTAATATTATGTAACTGGAAACTCCAGTCTTCGTTTTTTGGAATTGGGTACACTTGTACAAGCTTCTATTTATCAGGGATACTACTACTTGCTAGACACAAACTTGCAAACTTTCTAAAGATCTTCTGTATCTCTATACTAGTATTCTTAATTAGCATGTACCCAATTTCTGAAACTCCAGATGCTGTTTTATTCTTCGTCTTTCCAATTATATCCAACCATTCTTCTAGTATAACTTCATTGTCCAACTCTGAATAACACTCTTCATTAACCTCCTCGAGCAGTTCATAAAATTCATTAATCATACTTTGGTCGTTAAGTATCTTTTTCTCTCTAAATTGACTTTGAAAGTGTGCTGCAATTTTAGAAAAAACATTTCTCGACTTATTGTACAAAGTCTATATATTGCTATTTTTCTCTAAAATATAGTCAAGTTTTATCTTTTTAAAGGGTTTGTCTAGAATACTTGCTAGCATTACTTCAACTTCATCATCGATTCTTTTATATCTACAAGCTACTGCCATGTTGATTCTTTTGCAAGTAGCTTTCTTTTCTGCCACTTTCTTTTGCACTCATATCGCTTTCCAGTATTCTTTTCACGAGCAGTCCACTCTAGCAATGTATCGCTTTCATTTAAAATGTTTTCTAAATTTGGTATATCTGCCTGGTGCTCAATATTGATTCCCTTGATCTTCTCACAATTGAAACCAAATCTAAAACAATATCCTTCTATACTGCTACTTTTTTAACTCATTGAATAATTTTGCTTAATCTAACTATATTTTTGTACAATTTCGTTACTCTTTTCTTACTTCTTTTCTCATACATATCTCCAGGTACTTTCTTCTTTGGAATATTCTTGTTAGCAGCACATCTTATTGCACCTAATATAATGTCTCATATTATATTGAGCCTGTTATATGTAGATAAGATCCAACACTTGGCAAGTGCTTGATTGCCTATGATGAACCTCTTATAGTTTTCTTGATAATCTTTCCAATCATCTTTCGTTGCTTTATTATACAAATAAACCACCCTCGAGATTTCTTTTTTCTTCTCATTTGCCTTATTACGAGTTCTAATTA